GGAAGAAGGAATAAATAAGATTTATGATGAAGTCAAAGAACTAGGATAAACTTGGAAGGGATACTTTAACTGATAATATGTGTATTTATAGTTAAATTTGATTATGGTTTTGTAATTGCATAAAGCTTTAAAACAGGTTTAGGATTAATAGAAATTTAAATTAGAAATAGATTACTTTAAATATATAAGCTATTTAAGGAAAATAGAGAGGGAATATTTGATGTATTGATTGAGCTACTCACTTATGTTTTGTTTTTGAATTTTTGATTGCCCCAACACCACGGTGTGTCTTGAGCACTTTGTATTAAAAACTAAAAAACCAATAAAATTTGTTTTAAAAAAAATAGCAAAATGACTAGAGACATCTTGACCAATAGTTTCAGAATTTTCATGATTTTCTTTCATTATAAGGGCAATGGATCTGAACATCAGATCCATTGTGTATGTGTATTTATAGTTAAATTATATAGTAAAAAACTATATTTGCATTTCAAAAACATAAATGAAAGTTACTGTCAAAGTTGTTGCAATAAAAATATCAGAAACTATTACTAGTTTGACAAAGGAAACAGATACTTCAGAGAATTATTTTGTTAACTAAACAATCAATTTAACATTCACACAAATTACTAATGGCTGTCTGCACGTTTTGGAATTGCCTATTTATGCCAAATTACAAAAATGCAAGGAAAACAAAATCTCAAATAAAGAACCTTCTGCTTTCACTGCAATACTTGAAACGGGATTGAAGATTTGACATTACAATGTACAAGTTCCGGAAGTTAGTTGTCTCTCATAAATAACTTAGCAGATTACATTTTTAAAAAATCACTCCATCATTGCACTAGACATTTGAAAAGGTGAAGAATGAATGTCTTATGCTGCTGCTTTTTCTTCTTTGCACATTGGATACAATGAGATTCATTAAAGCAAAAAATAGAATGATCTATTCGAATATGAATTTCTAGAACTTGTAAATTAATATTGCGCTGGTGCTAGCATAGTCAATACTCACCCTGTTATAGCAGATGATGAATTCACCCAGCTGGTGAGCTAAGATGCGCCTACGGTCATAGAGAGCCAGGCGCCGACTTGGAAGTAGCATCCTCAACGACTGTTGAAGATTACTGGCTGCTCGCTTCAAAAAACGAACCACAAGTTCCTGCCATGAAGAAACAAAACTGAAGACAGATTCCAAACATTCAATTTTATTAAAAGTATATCTACATTTGTTTAAAAGAAGCCACACTGTAAAGAAAAATGTGTGACAAAAAGGATGGAATATGTGATCTCAAGTATTCTAACACTGCCCATCAAAGCTGGGCATGCTTTGAATGTGTCTTGGAAGAACTGCTCTAGAGTATGCATGGTACCTGCCTTCTGCTCATTCAAGTCCTGTCTTTTTTGCAGGCTTCCATGAGAGCCTGAAAAGACACAGCTGCTTTGAATTTCACATTAAGTTTCATAGTTGCTTTAATTAGTCAGTTCATTAAACCAGCCTCTTTTCTTCTACTGTGTGGAACACTAGACTGGAGACATGCTCCCACGAGTTCTAAAACAACCTTCTAAAGCAGGAATGTCCAACATTGGAAACTTGTGGACTTCGCCATGGCTGATGGGGGAATTCTGAGATTTGAGGTCCACAAGGCTTAAACTTCCCAAAGTTGGATACCCCTGTTCTAAATCTTTTTAAAGCATGTACAATGCTAATGTCTATTATTGCTGGAACTAACTACAGATAAAAAGTACATATCTGAAGGGCAGCAGATTTCTGCATGTCATTTTGATTAGGTACACTTTTGCCACCATTATTCATTACTTTTGGTCATACTATCTTACTTTAATGACTGCATCATCATCATCATCATCATCATCATCATCATCATCATCATCATTTCTTCCTACTTTGTCACCAGAAATACTCTCCCTGGAAAATAAATTTTAAGCTGCCTGCTATGGTGTTTGATTTCAAATACATTCTGTCTCCAGTTTGGATTTACTTTTGGCCAGATGCCCTACTAAACATGTAAATGAACTGCTTCATAGCCAAATATTACATTTCACAATTTACCTCTCATTAGCATTGTATTAGATTGGCCTGAACTGTTACTCTAAATATTATTTTTCACAGCAGAGCAGACAAAGTAGCTCTTAGAAAGCCAGTTTTAAGTTTCCACTTGGAAAGAGTGGGGTAACATTTTCCACTGAAGCAAACTGATTATTCTTTATTTCTGACATAAGGTTTCTAATCTTTGAGCTAAATTGCTCACTATGCACTGCCTGTTTTCACAAAGTCTCCATTTGGGCTAAGATGACAAAGACTAGAAATGTGGAGCAATCCCATTAAGTGCTCTAAATCCAGTACTTTATATAAAACACCCAAGGTGATTCTGTGATTGGGGGAAAACAGAAAAACAATTCAGAGATGTTATATACAGCGTTTAAGAAGAGGTAATGTGGAACTAAATGCAAAACAAATACAGCAATCTAAACTGGCTATCACTTCAGCCATGCTCTATTCAGCTAAACTCAATCTCTATCAGATTCCAAACACACTTCTATTTGTTCTGCACATCCATAAACTAGACAGGATCAAAGAGAGGCATTCAAATTGTTTTAAATTACAGAGAAAGGTAAGATGTTTTAATATGGCAAATGGTTAAACGTTCAGCATTTCTGCTCAGCCCTAGCTGGGAGGAATCAGCTTCATACTGACTATGATTCAGGAATGCTGAGTAGGAACAGCTGGGTCCCTTCCTGACAAGAACTGGGCAAGCACACCATTTNTTTTCATTTTTGCAGAGAACAGACATGCCAAATTATAAGGTGAGAATTCTATAACCTATAACCTGAAATTAAGAGATTCCAACTTTGCCAGACCAGATGATAGGAAACGGTTTTCTATACATAAAAGCTGGATCTATACTCAGTCATCCTTTATTTCCATTAAAATTAATATGAAAACTTGCTGATTATTAACTTAAATCCCTTCAATTTCTATGTGACACACTGCAAGTAATGTTAAATATGGATCCAACTTGGAAGATAAATATATAAAAGCACATGGGGGAGTTAAGATTATCCAGGATCTTATACATTAGGATATATTTTCCATATAATATGTCAGCTGAAATATTTTTATTTTTCAATTTTAAGGTAGCTGTCAAAACTTTTGAACAAGAAAAGTTTGTTGAATACTCTGGATGTTCACTTATCTTAGAAATGAATACCAAAATAGCAAGCAAAATCTATATTTAAATTGTGATATAGTTTTTTCAAATCAAATGAGACAAAAGTAAAGAGTTACAACAGTAATAGAAAGTGATGCCAACATAGTATGAAATGTTGTCACAGTAGTTTTAAATCCTAGAGAAAGAAAAGCCTTTTCTAAGTAAAATGCATTTGAATGAAAATCTGTTCTGGACAAATAAACTTTCTTCATATACAGTTGATTAAGCAGATTATATTAAATTTTAGAGAAAATGGCTGCAAGAAAAATATAACATCTCTAAATACAGAACATTTTAGAAACATCAAATTACTACGACACTGTCTTGCAAAAGTGACCAGATGCACCTGGGAAATTTAAACAGTGCATGAAGGTAAGAACCCAAGACAGGCTTCAGAAATGAGCAATGGCAGATAGCTGTCAATTACCAGAACAATAAATCAGTATCAACAAGCAACGATTAATTTTCAGGCTGAATTGCTATAGTGTAATGTTTCACCAGCAACTGCAGCTAGCATCTTAAGAGGCAGTGAACTGCTTTGTGGTGTAACTCTTGGCAGCTCACAGGCAACAAAGACTAGTTGTATTTGAACCTGGCAAATTGATTTCTGATTGCTCAGAGTCACAGGAGGCCAGGGAAGTAAAGGTCCCTCATCTCCATCTGATCCATTTTGGAGAAATTTCAGTCAAACAGGTTCTTGATTAGCCTGTCCTTGAGTCAGGCTACTGATTGCTTCTTCGTGTAGGTCAGGGGTGCCAAACTGCTGGCCCACAGGCCGGATGCATCATAACGAAACCGTGCCCACCCCATTGCTGGCAATGGCAAAAAAGTCGCAATATGTCGCGACATGTGGCGTGACGTTGCGAGTTTGACACCCCTGGTGTAGGTGGATTTCTCACTGGTCTAGGAAGCTGGAACACAACCATTCAGTCCCAATGCTCATCATTACTTGATTACCACCTGCTGTGACGGACTACATCACTGCCAGTAAATCACTACCAGTATAATCTTTACCAGCCCACCACTGCCATTATGCAGCTAGCACACTTACTAGCCTCCTGCTCCTTCAGTTGTCTTGCTTATCTGTGAGTGACAGCAGCATTTGACCCACATGGTCACAATCAATCTTTACTAGAAGTCAAAGGAATGCTGTGACCCTAATACAATTAGGTCCCAAACACTTTTTGGAGCTCAGTTATTGTTTTGTAAGATTTTTTTTTAAGTAGCTGCTTGACAATGCCTTCCAGAAATTTACTACCATTGGTCCAACAGCTTGCCTAGTAAGAAAGAATCTGGCAACACCTCATGAATTCAGTACCAAGTAAATCCCCTGTCAAAACAGTAAGGCAGAGGATGCTCAAGTGTTCCATCAAAGGTGCCAGGGCATTCAGTTGGTAGTAAAGGATCTCCTGGTCACACCATCTCGATACCACTTTCAAGTCTGGAGCTGGCTCTGAACAATCACTAGTAAAATTGTTTACAACATACCTGTTCTTTGTTCTAAACTTAAAGTTACCTTAAGTCAGAAGAAATGTTTGGGGAAACTGGGGGCTTCAATAGTTGGACCAATGAATGGACTGGACCTGAGTGTCTGGAGAATTTGAGATGGCTTTATTTTTTAAATATTTAGAACTATTACTATAATTTGGGGAGTTTTATGCCTTAAAATAGTGAGAAATTGTGCTATTAATTTTCAGTAATAATGGCTGGAGGTGGTTATGAAGATAGAAAAAAATGGATTTCAGAAGCTACTGATTACCTTTTCCTGCTTTAAGTTCTAGTTAGTAGCTTTCAAAGAGGAAAACTGCTGACAAAAACACTGACAGCCATCCATGCATCTTATACCACTATTTTCTATTACATTCCATATTTAGGTATTAGAGATGTTCTATCACAACTCAGCTATTTTGTGTGTCAACTGCCACATACCCCAGTGCAACCAGCAATATAATACAAACAATGGAGGAATCCCAAGTCTTTTAGCCAAATCAATCCCATGAACTCTCTTACCTTAGATTCCTGTTCTCTTGCAGAATCTGCAGCAAATTAAATGGAGGATCAGCATTCTTTGGCACCGGTTCCAGTTTCTCTTGAGGAGGCAGCCCTTCATTTACAGGCTTCTCTTCAGGTTCCTTTGGTAATTTGACTTGGTGGGGGGGCTTCACCATCTCTGTCAACTGTGGCTTAAATTTCACCGGCATATTTCTGAGAGAGCGGACTGTTTCACCCTGGCATATTTCTAGTTCTTCATCTTCTATTTCCTCCTCTTCTTCACATTCTGTTTCTGACTTGAGGATAAAATCAGCTGATTGTGATGTACCTGTCAGAATCAGTATATTTCCAATTCTCAACATTTTAGCAAACTAATTTTGAAGAAAAAAAACAGGCTCTGATGTATGTCACTCAGTACTTGCATCTCTAAATGGGTAATAGTGGATTATATAAGAGCACTAGGTAAGCCAAATGGGAAATCTATATGAACTTTTTTTAAAATTCCAAAGATAGCATCTACACATATAAGATACTGTTTTGCTGCATTAAACCTGTATATCCACACTATAGGAAAATAAACAGGACATGTATATACCTGACAATCTTGACAATCTTCCTGGTCTCAGTTTGCCAAAACGACGCTTTTGTTTTCGAACCTCTAGTGATAATAGTTTCCGCTCGTATAAAGCAGCATGAAGCTGAGCGTTACAATCCACAATGTCCAGGCCCAGTTCAGCAGCAAGAGCTAAACTGCAAAAATAGGAACAGAGAAAATTCTTCATGGCTTTTGTCCCAATGTCCAAAGACATCTAAATAATCTTCCACTTTTGCCTATATTAGAAAAAAAAGGACTCAGTAAAACTGTCACTTCTGAAGCCACCAAACCAGTTTGAACAAAGTTACCTGAGTGTATCAAAAGTGAGACCTCAGCTTTCAAGAAAAATGAAACAAAATGTATTAAGGATTCCAAAAGCAAATCAACGCCTTTTAAAACCAAATGTTAAGGTAGCATTCTGCCATCCTCCTTAAATCTTATTGGGCTGATAAAACAAAGAGGGGAGCAGTTTTGTGGACCACTTTCAAAATTATCAGTTCCCGGGAAATCCATCCACAATTCATAGTAGGAACTTACCTGGAAATCCCTACAAGTGAATACAATTGAAATAAAACTAGAGAAATTGTGGTGGCACAACAGTAGTAGAAGGATGTTACTGAAAACTCGAGCTCGGAGGCATTAATGTTTATATTATGATCAAACATGCAAGTAGTTGTCTATTATAATCTCTTCCATAATTTACTATATTTTATTCTATTCTTCACAATATAAGTAAGATATAAATTCATATGAGGATTCCCAAAAAAAATTGGCAACCCTTGCCTTCTATTCTTTTATATTAATAGGACAATAGCCAAGAATTAAGAAATTCTGCTGGAACAACAGAAAAGCTGATTTATATATAATATTCTATAGTGTTCCAGTTAGCCTTTATATGGCTATGTGGGATTAAGATCCATAGCAATGAGATTTATTCCACTATTCCCAGTAGGGAGTAAAGGTCATATATTTATCCTGGTCAGCCATTTAAGCTCAAAGTTGCTCTGTGAAGTAGGTAAGGTTGAAAAATCATTAATTGCCCAAGAATTGCCTGTTGTTTAAGAATTTAGAGCACTGTATTCAAGTCATCCCTAATTTTATCTTCACAACAGACCTAGAAAGTGGGATGGCTGAGAGAAAAGGAATAAAATCATCCAGAATATTCCATGGTCTGAAAGGGATTTAAATGACCTCTCTACTCCCATGTCAACACCAGATAGCTTCATGTGTTAGATGATGGGAGTTATTATGGGTTTGGTTTGTTATGATTTCAGAATCCAAATAAACTAATTTTAGTGTTGATATGAATTTTCTGCATTAGCACTGGTAACCCTTCAGAAAATTATTTTTCAAAATGTATATGTTCACATGTTTATCTTAAAACTAATGCATGAGTATCAAATGCCAAATATGAGGTAGAACTGTGCATAAAATCCAATACAAAATTAACTAAAAGCAATGCTAATTCAATGGAATATATGTAATATTGACACAAACTGGATGTAGTCTGGTCTATTTATTCCTAATCCTACATAGGAAACCCAAGAAATGAACATTACAGAGTGAATACAAGTCAGCTAGTTGATATTAGTCAAATTTAGCAACTATTATTGTAGAAATTGAATTAACAGTAACAGAGTTGGAAGGGACCCTGGAGATCATCTAGTCCAACCCCCCTGCTCACACAGGAGACCTATACTATTTCTGACAAATGGCTGTCGAATCTCTCCTTAAAAGCCTCTTGTGGGAAGCTGCTCTCTTTTCTAAAGCAAACTGACAGAGCAAGCATATATTATCCTGATCTAATTCTGTTTACTTATTTTACATAATATCGTGTTGGCAGTGAATTCTTGCTTCGAGTGAAAAAGCAAATAGTTGACTACAAAGTTGTATAGTAATAATGGGTTGAAGTAGCAAAAAGTGTCTGGGGTAGTTACAAGTATTCTACAAATTGTCATGCTTGTCTTGCCTTAGCCTCGTCAGCAGTTATCAACCATATGTTGACAAAATGGATCAAATATTTAAGTCAAGGAAGGAGTATTACATATATTACCAATGGGCATTTACTCCCTTTATCCAAATGAAAATCACCAACCCAAAGATTACTAAAATACGAATCTGACCTGCTTACAATTGGAGCACATTTTTAATGCTGGCAGCTAAACAAATATTTAAATAGCTTGTGAAAAGTACAGTAGGTAAGATGAAAACAAAAGTTATATAATTAAGACCTCATGTATTTAATCATTTTCCTCTGCCACATTTAAAATTGCATTTTGACAGCATATTTTGGGAAGGTTCTGGTCCAGAGTTCACGTACTATTCTTGTCAGAGCTAAAATATTCAGGAAGTCCTATTTATAAAATAATGGAGTCCTTTGCATGACATCAGAAGCCTCAGTTCAAGTCTTACCGAGCTCGTCTAGGAACTGGCCCTTTCCTTGAACTTCCCCTATAAAGAAATAGAAGTGATTATGTAAGTTATAAGACAGGTTTATCTCAAAGCACAATAAATCTATAAAAATACTGTTAGAAAAACTAAACTGTTTAATAAAAATGGCAGCAAATGCACAAACCAAAAGCTCACAGTAGATTCATGATGATGCCCAAGTCTACTATTGCAGGGAGAAAATGTCCTGCTTTGAGTACCTAAAAATTTTGACAGACCACTGTGAGAAACAAAATGCTGAGCTAAGATGTGCCTTGTTATAGCAGAGCTGCTCTTACATTCCTACCCATTCTTCATCCCAAGGATTCACAAACATATCCCTTGCATTTCCACTGTCAACATGCATAATCATTGATAGATCTGCCCTCTATTAATATGCTGAATAATTTCAATGTGAGTACAACAGTCAGTACATGTGAGCACAACAGTCAGTACACAACAGCCAAATTCATATACTCCAGCAACTATCTTGAGTGTCAAATCTTTACCTGGCAGAATCATTATGGTAACAAAAATAAAATAAAAAATAAAATAAAGCAGCAATTAGGTATTTAATGGTTTTTGGAGCACTGCTTGGTTCCTGGCTTACTACTGCTGAGGATGAAGTGGGATGGGGGACAATATCATAAACAAGTTACATAATGATTCCATAAGGTTAACCGTTTTAAAAGACATGATCCACTGGCATTAGTTTTACCTTAGATTCACAAAACAATTCTATACCATTTATTGCTTGATGTGGTGCCCTGAAGCAACCTTGGTCTGTTAAAGAGTATGACATGCAAGCATTTGAAACATTTGAAACATTTTGAAAATGTTTACTGCAAATATTTTTTGTTTGAAATGTCTTAGTTCCACCTCATTTCCAAATATATTTTCTATAAATAAATACATCTCACACTCAGTCATTTTCCCCTTTAGAAATATTTTGTTTTCATTAAAAATTAATATTAATCCTAGCAGCGAGTAGGAAGATTTATTCTTGGGATCAGCTGAAGGACTACTGATGGGTAATCATCCTAAAATATATTCCCTCAAAAGTTCAGCAAACAGCAACTGTAGGACATGGTATTCTCAATGAAGCCATATCATATGTAATCAGCTGGTGAACATGCAGCTCCATAGAATAGTATACAATGGGCAAGGTTGGATTCAATGCCTGATACTTCTAATTAAAAGAATCTTGGATGGATGGATGGATGGATGGATGGAAGGAAGGAAGGAAGGAAGGAAGGAAGGAAGGAAGGAAGGAAGGAAGGAAGGAAGGAAGGAAGGAAGGAAGGAAAGAAATAGTGTAATCTTTGTAACAATAGATTGCCAATTATATAATTATGTCATTATGGATTATATTATTAGTACTGTTTATATAATAATGGTATAAAACAAAAATTGAACTCCCATCTCAGCAATGGGAGATATGGCTCAAAAATTATATCAGACTAGTTTCTAAGAAAAATAATATATCAAAAGAAGTTTTCAGATGGAACTATTCTAATGTACAAATATTTCTAGATGCAGAATACTTGCATACAGCCTAGGAAATTTAGAAATAGTTCAAATATATACTGTATTATGTAAAAAGTTATATATTTTTATATTTGATCATTTCCAATTTTCATATTGGAAAACATATTTACATATGTCAGCTTTTTCCAATCTAGTGTATGGACTACAACTCTTAAAAATTTCCAGCCTGCATAGACCATAGCCTTGCTGGTAGGAATTCTAAGGAGTTGTTGTAATTGAAGAACACTAAAAGGTTTATATACTAAAGCTTCAATTTATAGGACTTAGGTTTAGCAGTCTCCAGATTCAATCTAATCCCAGTTTATGTATGCATAAATTTAAACACCGTGTTAAAGGTCATTAATAAGGATTCCAAAAAAACTAGTAATTATTGGATAAAATGACAGATCTAATGCAGGTCTGTAAAAATTAAAGAAAAAATGTTTTAAAAATTGGTAGATTAACAGAAGATCTTAATTAGAGTGGTTCTATTTCACTGAACTGATTTGAAGTCAGACGTGACTTCTGACTTCAATAATAGCCGGATTATTTGGTGATACCTAAATGTTGTACATAATAAAGAGTCCAAATAAAATGCCACTGAACTAAACAAATTAACGGAACAGTAGAAGACAGTTGTAAAGCTGTTGAGGCATCTGGACAGAGAACTGTTGGGAAAAATTGTAGATTTAAAAGACTTTATTCTACTTCAGAAAGTCAATTCTTATGTTCTTGGGATTGTCTTCCTCTTATTTACATATTAATTATTCTGTCTTCCTCAGCTTATAAGTAGTCATCAACAATTTAAATCTTCCTGTCATACAGTTTCAGTACTATACTTTATAAACACTCCTTCTCTATGTTCACTATCATTTGTCATATTTTCTAGCACTTTTTACTATTTCAGTTTGATTCAATTTACATAATTTACTTTACTGATATAATTTCTGAACCACATGGCACACAGTGAAATCCACATCCTACATCCCAATGTTATTTTCCTTCAATATCCCAGTTTTTCCCAGGCTGCTACCATGGCTTTCTTTTGATAACTGCAATTGCTATGCAATGCTAAATATAACATACTTTAATATTACAGTGTTGTAACTCTTATTGCCTGGAATGGTTTCAAATTCTGGCTGCACTGATACACAGAATGACTAGGATACACACACACCCTACAATGGTGTAGAAAAGAAGTTACTAAGAAGTGAAAAAATAAAAAGGAACTGAGATATAAAAAAACCCCTATGGAACTATCTTCATCCCATTACACCAACCCATCCCACCCAGGCAGGCAGGAAAAGTATGTTGCAGACCTCATCAGAACTTCAACTGGTGGAGTCCAAGATCTATGCTGTTCCACACGCCCTGTGGAATATTCTCTCCTCCCCCAGGCAAGACAGGCCCCCATTCTCCTAGGCTTACAAAAAGGAGTTAAAATATACCTCCGGGGCCTCACATGGGGAGCCCAAAGAAGCATGCAGCTGTGGGACTGGCTAGTGCCCTGAAAACCATCCCTTCAATTTTTAATTAATTTTAACAAAGTTTTATCATCACCAGCATCAAAGTTGACACCAACCAGAGCATACAAAAATTCAAAGAAGTAGTGCAAGATCAGAAGATGTGAACCTACTGAGCTATGCATGTATTTCAAAGAATTACTGCCACCACGCTGCATCTCCTACAAAAAGTGCCTCACTGTACATGTTAACACTATAACAATTTTCCTACCTTTCTTGGAAAAGACGAGTCGCCAGCATATAATTCATTGTTGTCTTATGTTCCAGAAAAGGCCTAAGAAACCAAGAGTAAGAGAGTTAAATTTCACCATGAAAAAGAAAAGTATTGGAACAGAAGAAAATATCAAAAGTTATTATAAAAAACAAGAAGGGAAAAAAAGCCTACATTGTAAGTTTGGAAGGAGGAATACCCAAACAAGGATGTCATAGTATCAACTAATGGAAAATATTGATCATAGAGAAAGATACAATAAGTAAGCTTTTATTCTACAATGCTTTTGAAATATGGAAAACAACGGAAAAATAGGAAAAAACAGCATTTATATCTATTACTTCCTAAATGTATTCTACAAAGTCCAAGAAAACAGAATTGATTTCTTAAGTTTTTCTTACCCATAAATATCCCAAGTTAATGGTGTAGGGAATACACGAATGAACCCCCCTCTTCTGTCATATTCATCCTTCACTCGGCGCAACACTTTTATCTAAAATCAGAAGGAAGGCTAGAAGTCACCAGGGCAAAAAAATATTAAGCTCAGGAAAGAATCTCATTTCACAGAAAGCTGAGATTCCTCAGCACATGCCAAAGTGTATAAATGTAACACTTGTAAATAAACAACCACTTAGTTATAGCACCCAATTTTAACACTTCCAATGTAGAGTGTAGATACTTTGTTCTTTTGACATTTGCTGTCCACTCTACTTCCAAGATGTCAGTCTGACAAAGATATCTAGTTATCAAACACATCAACCAAAAAGTATTATTCTCCTTTCCCTTTTACAAACACTTATATGCAATGACTGAATACAATATGCTCTTTTTTCAAACAGCCACTGCTGGACCCAACAGTACTGGACAATTTCTATCTAATTGGTCACAGTACTTACATACACTCACTGATCATACTTGTCAATGACTTCTGGAAGAGATGGGATGCTGTGGTGCAATTGTCCTTTTTTCCCCATTTCTTGGTGGCATTCAATGCCACTAATCATGGTATTTCTTCTGGATTGGCTATGGGGATTAGGAGTGAGGGCATGTGGTTCTCTTTTCTCTGTAGTAGGTTCCAGTGAATGTTGGTATTGGAAATGTTGGTAATTTCTGACATGTGGGTCCCGTAGGTCTTGATGCTCTCGAAGAGATTATCTGTCTCCTGCAATTTCTCCCAATGCTGCCTGATCGTACAGAGTCGACATTTGTTTTATAGGACCCAAGACTCAGGTCTTCTTGTTGCAACATCTGCCTTGTGAAAAAGTGCATGTGCGCATATGCACACAAGGGCACACAGAAGATTTGTAGAGTCTCTGCCCTGGCCTCATTTAAACATGTCTTACAAACTGTCTCATGTTTTGGATTCTTCTAATGGGAAACTTTTTTGTCCAGGTTATGTTTTATTGCTCTCTCTGAACAATTAACATTCTTTTTAATTTTTTATATTGTTTTGAATCTGTTTTTAACATTGGACGTTGCCCAGAGTATTTAATGGAGTTTTTGGGTCTTAACAGTAGAAATCTGATAATTAAATAAATGATTTGTTTTACCTCTTCCATGGAGAGGCCCAGCATGGAGCCAACATGCCTTCCTGCAACTTTCTCTTTTGCAGAAGGAATAAGGTTTTTCATCTCAGCATCGCTGGCAGAGAGGGGCCGGGAACGCTGTGGGATCACAGTAAGAAGTCAGTTTTGGCCTTTTTTTCCTCCTGATTTTATTCCAGTTATTTAAATAGATTTCAAATGCCAAAAGCATTTGGCTAACAAAGAGTAATAAGAACAACACTTGCCAGGCACTGAAGCCAGGAATTATGTGAAAGTCAGAAGGATCCAAAGGCACAAATGCCAGGTTTCATACTCCTTGCCTCCACGCCCCATTAGAAACCAAAGCCAAACTTTATATTCTCAGTGTTTGATACACACCCCAAAGCAAGAGCCAGCACTGATGATTTCTGACTCCATAGGCAAGGCATTAAACATATTTCTTGTAACTTTGCCTATGGCCAACATTCTCAGTTCTCACTTGATTCTCTAATACTAGAATCAATGATTTTGGAGACAATAAACTCCTAAAGGAACCCAGTTCTAAACAACATAATATACAATAAAAGATCAATTAAAAATGAAAAACCAAATAATAATAATTACAACACACAATAAATAGAAGAAATGTCAGCAATGAGCAAGCATTCTAAGAAGATCTTCTAGAAAAGTTAAACGTTCCCAAACTCCAAAGAACTGTCACCAAGAGAGTAAATTTAATTTCTGGTGGAGTCTGATCCATGATCCAAATTTTTTCTATGTTGGAGAAACAGCACTTTCTGTCCTTAGCCCTTGTCATCTCAAAAAATCAGGCACCACCAACAGCTTCTCTCAGAAGGATCTCCTGAGGTGGAGACTTAGGTTGGAGCAACCAATCTTGCAGATTCCTTGGCACTGACTCATTAAGTCAAGATTTGATTAACTTTGATTAACACCCAGAAATCCTTTGGTAACCAACACAGAGCGTACACAATAACATAATATGATAATAACAATACTGGTTGGTTAACATGTAGACCACTACATTTGAACCAATTGCAGGTTCTGGGTGGGTTTCAAAGGCAGTCCTATGTACAGTGTATTATAGAAATCTAAACTGAGATAACAAGGCTATAAGTAACTCCTCCAAATTCAGGAAAGTGCAACAACTGGAGCATTAATCAGAGCTAAGCAAAGGTACACATGGCCATGGCCTTCAACTACCCATCCAGCATGAGTCATGAATCTAGGACACCACCCTCTCATAGATCTGATCCCTTAGGGGGAAATGTTTGTTAAGAATCAACAATGAAATTGACGGAAAACTCTTGATACACTGATATACATATACTTGATATACTGTAGCTCATCTTACAAGCCCTGTCATTGGCTAATTTATAATCTTTATTAAACACTTTCATTTCAGAAACATCTTGGAAATATATTTTATTTTGCATTTGCACTGAAGGGATTCACAATACAAAAAAAAAAATCCAAAGTGCACATTATATATATACACAAAAATTATCTTATATATATTTTATACAATTCTGCGATTGAGCTTGGCCATAATAACCAAACAAGTCATGAGAAGAGCCTGATAAATTTGCTTCTTATGTGTCTCCTATTATCCAATGCATTCTCGTATCTCCAGGAATCAGTTCATCTTTTCCTCCTGAAATGCATGAAATGTACTGTTTTGTACCTGACCACTTCCAACGTATTGAGAAAATAGTTGTAGCCAACCAGAAACATTTAATATTGTTTTCAGCCACAACGTGCACAGTACACAGACAGGTTCCCAGTGTGGCACTTAACAGTCTCTATTGCAAGAGTGAGGAGTAGTTTTCCTACCCTTACAATCTGGCAGGAACATGAGCTGCATTCACTGGAACATTCCTTTTCTTTGCTTAGGAACTGGGGCATTGAAAACACTGTCCAATCCTCAGATTAGAACAGGGGAAGTAAAAAAGAACTTGTTGTTGCAAGTATCTTGAGAAGAACCACTGTTCCAAACTATGTTCCTATTAATGAGGCACAACTGTCATTCTGAGATGTGACAGTTGCCCTTCCTCTTATTTCCTGTTGGTTCCCAAAAGCAGTTATTTCCAGAACTATTAGAAAAAATGCATCTGTCAGAAATCGAATAAAGAGTAAGATTCAATTAAGTAATATGGTATACTTGTTAATCCTTCTGGAAAGAGAATTATCAAAGTTTTCAATACTTGATCTGTTATCTTTGGGCAAACTATTGTTATATACTGTAAATTATAATTGTATTTCTTTTTCTTTTCTTTTCTTTTCTTTTTTCTTTTCCTTATAGGACTTAACATAAAGGAGCTTGCCAGATTAATTCCAAGGTCCATTTAGTTTAGAGCGCCTTCTCATTAATACAACAAACAATATAACCCATGCAGCTAGTTCAAATATGGATTTCTTCTTCTTTTAAAAGAAAAATGAAAGATGATTGATAGTTTTTTTCCTCTTGGGAAAGATAGGCTTGGATTATTGGATTCCTAGTGTTTTAGTTTTCCTTGGATTCTTGAATGGTTGCTGTGCTTTAGTTTGCCTTAGATTCTTGAATGTTTGCTGTGTCCTTTATGTTTATGCCACTGCCACTACAGTACTAAATTGTCTTCAAGATAATATTTCTTTTCTTATTATCTTCAGGTTTGTGTTCTCAGCATTGCACCGATTTTCTTTTTACATAAGCATTTTTCTGTGTTTCAGGAATATTGGTAATCTGGCTCCTAAAGTGGTATAAGTACTACCATACTTGTGCATAATCTTGTTTAATCTCAAAACAGGATTTATCAAGCGTAAGTAGCACTCATAGAAGAAGTATTAAAGGAGGACAGACAAACAGACACATTCAAAGTAGTGACAGAATCTAACAACAGAAAATGAAAAGAAAATACAGGATATAAAAATCTTTTATAGGAATTGTTGTATACACTGTCCATATTCCTATATTTAACAAAATTGTAGAAACTAGGTTCATCTAGAATCTAGAATTATCTTTCACACAAAGACTATTTCCAAAGAAATGTCATATTTCCATAATTAATCACAGTCTTGGACATGTTGCCATTAGAAAAACATTTTGATTCTTGTCCATTAGCCTCTTTACCACAACTATTTGCATCACTTTAAAGATTACTGCAAAAATATTTCTTTAAAAATGCAAAGTACACTGATTAAATTTCTAAATGATGAATGAAGCAATATAGAGCCCAATATTTACCAATTTGGCATTTGATGATCGAGACTGTGCAGAGACAGGGCGCTATAAAATAAAAAAGAATAAAGATTTCATGTTCTCTTTCAAAATTACCAATTTTCTAAATTAGAATTCATTTCTGATGTACATAAAAATGTACCCCATTTTTGCTTCATCCTCCAATTTACATCTTAAATATTTCATTCAAGAAATACAGAACCCAAATATACAAAGCATGTGACACCAGATTCAAAGTTCCCCATAGGTGTAAGATGGTAAAAGAGGAGCATCCCTTGGACACAAGGCCATTTCATGGACGGAATCCCCTCCCCCCTCTTTATTTTAGTGTGTTTGCCTGAGACTCTTGTCATATTAGCAGGGAAGGGCAAAGGAGTAATAAGTAAAGCAAAATACATCACTGCTAGGTAAGGAGAGAAGAGATCAGGCATTTCGTGCCTCTCCTCTTCTGGTTCTTCTTTCATTCCAGACAACTAACTATACTAGTTTGCCCTCTGGGATGTTGGCACTATTTTTAAATGTCAGGCTGATAAATGAATAAGATCTTTCTCATCTATGATTCGATTGAGAGAAGCACTTGGCTTATATAGCTGCATGGCTTGGAGATTTGTGAGATGATTCTTGAACAAACCAGAGGATCAAATACAGTAAACAGATGCTTACTGAAATTCCTTTTTTCTTTCCAGTCTTCCTGTCCATTTTAATACCAATATAACAACGAAAAAGACTACGACCCGTGATTCCTCTATTTACATAAGACTACTATATAGTAGATAAGTCGATGGGTCGTATTCCCACTAGGACCTAACCCACGGTTCTGAAGATTTTACTACTAGGATCCCCTAATTTTGTCGGTACGGTATATGGTTCAAACCTCAACAAGTCCCAAAGTACCACCGTTACACTGTTCCCTCATTCTCAATCCATTTGCTTTTTGTTTGTTTGTTTTCTTATTGGTCACAAGCATTGGAATCTGAAGCTGAAGAATTTATTTTTGTCAGAGTTTGACCACTTCTTGTTGAGATTCAGACTTCAGATAAATATTCCTTTCTGCGTAGTTGGAGACCCATTAGGAAGGTCCATCTGCAAAGAACAACAGATTCCAGAAGGTTTTGAAAGTTTTCCTGGCATTTATCTGGGTGCTTTGAGGTTAGAACCCAGGTGAGACTATCAAATAAATGAACCAGGCAGTTTTCACAATTGCTGCTGAGCACCCTTTGTCACTGTGCAGATGCCCTTCAAAAATGTGGTATGCAGGCACCTGAAGATAATAAAATGAGCTGGAAAACATCTGGAATGCAAGTGGAGGAAAACTCATCCTATATCTGATTGAGTGCTAAGAAGAGTTCATTATTGAACCTACTCTGTGGTGATAATGAAGGTGAAGAGGTAATTTTTCTCCTCCTAGATAACTTTGGGGAGAATCTGTCCAAGTTAGATTTGACTTGAACAGCTCTGCATTGTTTCCAGTTTTACCTGGAGGCTATCTCCAAAAAGTAATGCTGGGGGACTATTGCTCAGTCCAACAGCATTTATATTTATTGGATTTTTCAGTATTATATTCTATTCCCGATTGTATTTGACGTATTATAAGGCTGCTGATTGAGGTCATTCTGAAATCTGAAGTGGTATCATCAGTATGCTGACAACATACAGACCTCTTTCTTGCTTTTATAAATGCCAGGAAAAATAGTGGAAATGTGGAATCAGTGCTTGGACTGGATGAGGACAAAAAAACTGAAGCTCCATCTAGAGAAGACAGAAGTGCTTGTAATGGATGATGTGCCTGCTCGGGAGAGTTCTGAGATGGATTGCTTTCCTCCTAAAGGATCGAGTTTTAGTTGGGAGGGCGTCTATATCCATCTTTGTCATTAAATGCACAGTTGTCCTCTATGGAGTGATGTACCTTATGCCAATTTACGATGGCTATTCTGCAATAATCCATGCCTTGGAACTATCCTGTAATGAGGTATTCATGAGGTTTCCATGAAGATGGTCTAAAGAAACATCAATTATATAAACAATATTGCAGAAGACTGCTGCATTACAACCAGTTTAATACAACTTTTATTTGCTTTTAGGATCTGGTATTAACTTATTAGGATTTTGATAGTTTGGGAGCACTGTACTGAGAAATCTGTTTGCATATCTTTTCATACCTCAAACTCAATTTTGAAGGCTTTGAGTATTCCCCATAGCAAGCCTTCTGTGTCATGGAGCCAGTCCTCTAGAAAAACACTCTCCCTGAGATAAGTATGACTTAATCCTTGATTTTTCTTCCAGGCCTTGAGCTAGGATGGTGGCGGGTTCCTTATAGAATTAATTGTTTATTGGATTTTATTTTTTTCCTTTCTGGTTATTTCTATTTCATTGTTTTACACTGCCTTATCTATGCACCCAGAGTTGCAGAATCAAGCAATCTATAAATCAAATAAGTTAGCCAGTTTTTCTGGAGAGGGTTCTAATGCCGGGAAAGGTGGAAGGAAAAACAACGATCAACAGCAAGTTGGATTGACTCAGTTAAAGTGCAATGGATGGAAGACTTGAAGGATGAGGTTAGGGACAGATGGTCATGGAGAAAATCCACCTATGTAATTGCTAAGAGTCGATACTGACTTCATAGTATGGAATTAATCAAAAGTAAGTGGGCAAATAAATGAATGCATAAATAAATACCGAGGGGCTACCTGGAGGCTTTTTTTTTTCAGTATTAGCCCTCCATACAGTATAACTAGCATTGACTGTATTACTTTTTTCAGCACCAGGCAAAAGGATTCTCCCAGACATTTTAATAAATCAAGATTAATTTTAACTTCTATGCTCCTGCTGGTATTTCTATAGTTTTAATCTCATTAGACTTTAATTATCAAGTTTTTTTGTGTATTTTAATTGTTGAGAATTGCATTGTTTAATTTTAATGGATTGTAAACTGCTCAGAGAGGGCCTATTTAGCACACATAATAAATGTAATGTATAATGTATGTAATAAATAACACTACTTTCTTTTACAGGTTCATATGATAGCTAACAGTAAATTCTGGGTTACAAATAGTATTTGGAAACATTTGAAACCCTCAGAAATTAACAAAAGGCAATTTAATTTAAATCACAAATTATGTTCAGACTTTGGGAAACATAAAAGACTTCACACTGCCTTGCAGCGCTAAACAAGCAGACAGTAGATGGCAGCAATTATGGTGCTAGTATCATTTTACATAGTATGAAACACAGTAGAAATCAAGACTCACTAGGGATAAGGGGAGTTTCTTTACAAAAATTCTGTGCCCTCTATTTCCCACTGGGACACATTCGATTAAGACTCTCCCCTGCCACCCCTCCCACACAAAATTGAATCCAGGCCTCTATTAAACCCAAGCCCATGTGACCAACTCTGCTACACAGTGTGTTACTTCTCTGCTTACCTTGACTCTTCTTCCCTCCCTCTTAAATGTCATAAATATTAAGAGCACCAAATAAAGAAGTAACAATACCCTCCCAGATGCACAAAGGACTTCTAGAGAGCACTTTACTTCCCAATAGTGCAGAAACTATGCATGACTAAAGTTTTAAGAAAAGAGAAATTCTATTTTACAGAACAGTTTAAAAGTAGAAAGGAAAATAGTCAGAGGAGAAAAAGTATAGAGAGGTCATCGAGCAAATATAATTCATTATTTAATAATGACAGCAAAGGAGCATTGTTTTAACTTTTCTCTCCTTACTTGAGTTTTTTGGTATGGATTTCTCCTTGTCTCAGAGGAGTAATAAGATGTCCGATTTAACCGCTGACCTGGATCCTGACAAACAAAGCCTTGGAGAGAGGAAGGGAGGAAGACATGTCACATAAAGGACATCTAACTATGGATCAATTGCCTTGAGAGCATCAATGTACCATCTAAACACTAAGGCTATCATAGATGTTTCCCAGGGCACTGCTTAATTAAAGATATTGTTGAGTAAAAGAAATGAGTCCCCTCTGCAGAAACTACAGGTAGTCCTTGACTTATGACCACAAATGAGCCCAAAATTTCTGTTGTTAAGTGAGACATTTGTTAAACGAGTTCTGCCCCATTTTATGACTTTTCTTGCCACAGTTGTTAAGTGAATCACTGCAGTCAATAAGTTAGTAACACGGTTGTTAAGGGAATCTGACTTCCCCATTAACTTTGCTTGTCAGAAGGTCGCAAAAGATGATCACATGACCTTGGGAAAACAGCAACTGTCATAAATATGAACCAGTTGTCAAGCATCCGAATGTTGACTATGTGATCATGGGGATCCTGCAAAGGTTGTAAGTGTGAAAAAAACAGTCATAAGTCACTTTTTTCATTTCCGTTGTATCTTTGAATGGTCACTAAATGTACTGTTGTATGTCAAGGATTACCTATATGTCACTATTACATTTACATTGTAACAAATAACATTTATTCTCTAAAGTTAAGCATGAATTTGTGAAAAGAACTCTTACGTTGAGCTGTGAAATACAAAAAGGAGAAACTAGACCAAATGTGACTGACATGGAAATGTATATGTATATAGTTTTGAGGGACTGATATTTCTGAAGCTTGGATTTAGGATTTATTTCATTTATACCCCGCCCTTCTCCCGGAGGATTCAGGGCGGCTTACAGCCAGTTAAAACAATTACACAAAATACAAATCTAAGATAAATTAAAAATAAATATTCGAATCGGCCGCACTACTAAAATTTAATTAAAACCAATTTAAAATTACCCCTAGGCCAGTCCTGCCTGCTGAAACAGCCAGGTCTTGAGGGCGCGGCGGAAGGAGGGGAGATCCGGAATCACCCGGAT